CTTGAAAAAATCCAAGTCACTGAGTGGGGTCGGCTATATGAATCTTAGAACGCCATTGTGCTCGATCTTGTGTCATGTCCTCCGTTAGATCCAAGTACTCTAAGTCTTTTCTTAGAGTCTTTTCCAAAGTTTTCCTAGGTCTTCCTCTACCCCTTCGGCCCTGAACCTCTGTCTTGTAGTCGCATCTTCTAACCGAAGCATCAGTAGGCCTTCTTTGCACATGTCCAAACCACCGTAACCGATTTTCTCTCAGCTTTCCTTCAATTTCGGCTACTCCTACTTTATCTCGGATATCCTCATTCCTAATCTTATCCTTTCTCGTGTGCCTACACATCCAATGAAGCATCCTCATCTCCGCTACACCCATTTTGTGTACGTGTTGATGCTTCACCGCCCAACATTATGTGCCATACAGCATCGCCGGCCTTATTGTCGTCCTATAGAATTTTCCCTTAAGCTTCAGTGGCATATGACGATCACACAACACGCTGGATGCACTCTTCCACTTCATCCATCCAGCTTGTATTCTATGGTTGAGATCTCCATCTAATTCTCCGTTCTTTTGCAAGATAGATCCTAGGTAGCGAAAACGGTCGCTCTTTGGTATTTCCTGATCTCCGATCCTTACCCCTAACTCATTTTGGCCTCTATTTACACTGAACTTGCACTCCATATATTCTGTCTTTGATCGGCTTAGGCGAAGACCTTTAGATTTCAACACTTCTCTCCAAAGGTTAAGCTTCGCATTTACCCCTTCCTGAGTTTCATCTATCAACACTATATCGTCTGCGAAAAGCATACACCAAGGAATATCATCTTGAATATGTCCTGTTAACTCATCCATTACCAACGCAAAAAAGGTAAGGACTTAAGGATGAGCCTTGATGTAATCCTACAGTTATGGGGAAGCTTTCGGTTTGTCCTTCATGAGTTTCTTACGGCAGTCTTTGCTCCTTCATACATATCCTTTATAGCTTGGATATATGCTACTCGTACTCCTTTCTTCTCTAAAATCCTCCAAAGAATGTCTCTTGGGACCCTATCATACGCTTTTTCCAAATCTATAAAAAACCATGTGTAAATCCTTTTTCCCATCTCTATATCTTTCCATCAATCTTCGTAAGAGATAGATTGCCTCCATGGTTGAGCGCCCTGGCATGAACCCGAATTGGTTGTCCGAAACCCGTGTCTCTTGCCTTCAATCTATGCTCAATGACTCTCTCCCAGAGCTTCATTGTATGACTCATTAGCTTAATACCCCTATAGTTCATGCAATTTTGTACGTCGCCCTTATTCTTGTAAATAGGCACCAAGGTGCTCTTTCGCCACTCGTTTGGCATCTTCTTCGTTTTCAAAATCCTATTGAAAAGGTCAGTGAGCCATGCTATACCTGTCTCTCCCAAGGCTTTCCACACTTCAATCGGTATATCGTCTGGGCCCACTGCTTTTCTATGCTTCATCTTCTTCAAAGCTACAACCACTTCTTCCTTCCTGATTCGACGATAAAATGAGTAGTTTCTACACTCTTCTGAGTTACTCAACTCCCCTAAAGAAGTACTCCTTTCATGTCCTTCATTGAAAAGATTATGAAAATAACCTCTCCATCTGTCTTTGACCGCGTTCTTTGTAGCAAGAACCTTTCCATCCTCATCCTTGATGCACCTCACTTGGTTTAGGTCCCTTGTCTTCTTTTCCCTTGCTCTAGCTAGTTTATAGATATCCAACTCTCCTTCTTTGGTATCTAGTCGCTTATACATATCGTCATAAGCCGCTAACTTAGCTTCTCTCACAGCTTTCTTCGCCTCTTGCTTCGCTCTTCTATACCTTTCACCATTTTCATCGGTCTTATCCTTGTATAAGGCTTTACAACATTCCTTCTTAGCCTTCACCTTTGTTTGTACCTCCTCATTCCACCACCAAGATTCCTTTTGGTGTGGAGCAAAGCCCTTGGACTCTCCTAATACCTCTTTTGCTACTTTTCGGATACAGCTAGCCATGGAATCCCACATTTGGCTAGCTTCCCCCTTTCTATCCCACACACACTGGGTGATTACTTTCTCTTTGAAAATGACTTGTTTTTCTCCTTTTAGATTCCACCATCTAGTCCTTGGGCACTTCCAAGTCTTGTTCTTTTTTCTCACTCTTTTGATATGTACATCCATCACCAACAAGCGATGTTGATTAGCCAAGCTCTCCCCCGGTATAACTTTGCAATCCTTACAAGTTATACGATCCCATTTCCTCATTAGAAGAAAATCTATTTGTGTTTTTGACGACCCACTCTTGTAGGTGATCACATGTTCTTCTGTCTTCTTAAAGAAGGTGTTGGCTAAGAAGAGATCATATGCCATTGCAAAATCCAAGATAGCTTCCCCATCCTCGTTTCTCTCCCCAAAACCATGGCCACCATGAAAACCTCCATAGTTGCCTGTCTCCCTGCCCACGTGTCCATTTAAATCTCCTCCTATAAATAACTTCTCCATCTGAGCAATTCCTTGCACCAAGTCTCCAAGGTCTTCCCAAAATTTCTCCTTTGAACTCGTATCCAACCCTACTTGAGGTGCGTACGCACTAATCACATTGATGAGTTCTTGTCCTATTACAATCTTGATTGCCATGATTCTATCTCCTACCCTCTTGACATCTACAACATCTTGTGTCAAGGTCTTGTCCACAATGATGCCAACACCGTTTCTCGTTCTATTTGTGCCCGAATACCAAAGCTTAAACCCTGAGTTTTCTAGATCCTTTGCCTTAAGACCAACCCACTTAGTTTCTTGTAGACACATAATATTTATCATTCTCCTCACCATAATTTCCACTACTTCCATAGATTTTCCCGTTAAGGTTCCTATATTCCACGTTCCTAAACGCATTCTACTCTCTTGAACTCTACCCTTCTGTCCTAACTTCTTCACCATCCCCCGTCTAATAGGATCAAAGTACTTCTTTTGTGTGTCATGTGTAAAGTTGATAGGAGCATATGCTCCCAAACAACTTTGAGTGGAGTCGTTCGAAAAGAAGTTTCTATGGCCCCCTTGCTCATTTAACACTGCATCCAGGTGCCGATGGAGATACAGCGACCCTTGCTCACTTATCATTGTGCTCGGGCCACACAGCGCGCCACTTACGGGTGACGTCCTAGCTTTAGCGCAATTTCGTTCTGGATTCATTGTAATAAGGATTCGACGTAACTGTGGAGTGCCGCCTGTCGACTACCTGACGCCCTCCCCCTCCTCCTTTATCCGGGTTTGGGACCGGCAATGTAAGATAAACTTACACATGCGGAGTTGACCAACCCATCACCGATTGAACAATTTGTTACTCCGACTCACCCAACACAATTAGTTTTCGATTTGGGTGGGCGAGTTAAAGAGGTATTTGTGTTTGAAAATTTTGAATCTCGAAGAGCCAGAATGATTGAAGGATGAAGGAGGTTGCAAGCTGGTGTGGCGGAAAAGGAAAAAAAAAAAAGAATTAACACCAATAAGGGAGATGAAAAATGTGAAAAATAGTAAATGGCTGCAGGAGGTTGCAAGCTGGTGTGGCGGAAAAGAAAAAAAAAAAGAATTAACACCAATAAGGGAGATGAAAAATGTGAAAAATAGTAAATGGCTGCTGACTTTTGGGAATACGAGTTATTCCACGTGGTAAGCATGCCAAGTATGAAAATAAAGTGCAGCCAGTATAACTAGTGCAGCAATGTGTATATATTGAGTAGGTTATAACAATTACAAATAAAAAAATAGCTCAAACAATTAGTATTTTTAAGTTTAAAGAATTAAAACGGTTCCTATGCTAGAGCCCATCACCTTAGCTTGTTAGTAGCTCGCCATTGGAACTTGCAGGCTCACAACATTTCGGATAATGGTTTCGGCCACCAGGATGGGCTGGACCTATGCCGTTTGGTGCCTGATTCTACGAGCAGCGTTTCGAACCATCTTAGCCTGCACCATAGTCTACACCACCACCCTCTACGGTCCACAACCTCTCAGGCGTTTAGTAGCCTACCCTGCATACTCTTACCTCACCACAATCCTCATCGTCTCAGAAGCGACGCTGGGGGAGGCACTGAGAGGCTTCTGGCATGCGCTTTACGCTTGTATTCAGGTGTTGATCCTTTCAATCCTGAGCCTCCGGCTAATAGGGCCAGCGCACTTCAGTTACTTTGTATCATCCCTTGCAGTGGCTTTGTGCGCTTTTGTTGTGGCACTGCCGGGAGCAACCCACTTGATGTCTAAGCGGATTGCGTTCGGGCAGATTGTGATTGTGTATGTAGGCACTGCCATTCATTGTGCAGAAGCTGATGAGTTGGTACTTATGCACCCGATTCAGGTGTCGTTGAGTACTATGCTTGGAGCCTCGGCATCTGTTGGGGCTATGTTGTTTCCCAACCTGTTTTTCTATCAGAAGGCATCTCTGGCGGCTGTGTTGTCTCCCTACCTTGCCTACGACGAGGTATATATACATCTAACTATATGTATACATTTATAACATGTGTTGTTTGTCTTCCATATGTCTGCATCATTTTGTATGGATCCTAAAAATCTTGTAAACGATGAGTGCAAAGTTTTCACAGTTCAAACTTCAGGCAGGTTAGGCCAATGATTCAACTCATGTGATCCCTATATTAGAGTAGTTTAGAATCTCGTATTCTTAAAATCTTCACAATGATTCAACTCATGCAGTCCCTATAATCTTTCGGTTTTTTTTTTTTTCCTGTTTTGGTTATAAAAGGCATTCTTGAGGTAAGAAAATGATAAGATACAAACTTTTAACATAACTTCTAAATGAACCGAGTTAAAATTTAGTTAACAATTGGAAAGTTTAAGTAAAAATAATATTTTCCTCAAAAAAAGTGATCGCCTAATCCTCTATTTTAATTTTAAAAAATATTGAAAATACAACCAAAAAAGAAGGGTCAGTGGAGGAATATATCCTGATATTCTTTGAACTGTTGCCTGAAAATCAATCTATTCTATATTCCTTCATGGCTTCATGGCTTCATCTTCAACTTCACATCCACCCAGTAATTCCATTATTTTTCTAGCAAATTGGTATATGATGTTTGCGAAGAATTAATACGCAAATTGAGCGATATATCACCTTAAAGTTGTTTTATTTCTTGTAACGCCCCAAAATCACGATGAGCCTAACGGCAATGCTTGCAACATTTACAGGTGAGACAAATGTGCCAAAAATATGCCGAGAATGCTAGGAAAAGGTTCGACTTGTACTTAGATGCAATCTTGTCTCAAGACAGCTCTGCTGCACTTGACTTTATTTTACAGGCCAAGCCCTTGGCTGAAGTAGGAGAAAAGCTCCTTCGAAGTATTGAACATAAACAGGTAAAACTACCTTCTGTACAAGATTTGGATCCTCTGCTTGGGTTTTCGCTACTTACATTGTGATTTTAGCCAATGTGGTTTCCTTTTGGACAGGAAGCCTTACTGTGGGAGAGACCAACAATCAGAAATATCCTCAACCGTAGTCGCTTCTCTGTTCGAGAAAAATTGCAGGAAGTTGAAATACCCTTGAGAGGGATTGCAATAGCTGCAACTTCATGCCCTTCCTTTCCTGTTGCCATGATTAAGAAACTGCAAGCGGACGCTTTACTCGACCTGAAAAAGCGAATACATGACAAGCTTGAGCAACTTGAGCACTTTGCACCGTTCTACACAAGAAAGAAAAAGGAAAGATCTTTGGATGAGGCCTTCTGGTCCCTTGAAACCATTTCTCATGAGGATTTATTGGCCTTCTTTTTCATTGATTGTCTGAAAATTCTCCAAGAAAATACCGAGGCTGTTGAAGAATGCAAGCATGAGTGCTCTGGCATCGAAAGCTCAAGCGGTTCACAAAATCAAAGCAATTGTTGTGCCAAATGGAGCTGTCGACTTTTGTGCATTATACCAAGCAAAACAAGTCTACGATTTGCAGTTAAGTGTTCACTTTCATTAGGCCTTGCAGTGCAGCTGGGTTTCCTGTTTAACAAGAGAGAAGCATATTGGGCAGGACTCACAATTGCAATAAGTTTTGTCAGGGGAAGACAAGCAACATTCACTCTCGCAAATGCTCGAGCGCAATCTACGGCAATGGGGTCAATCTACGGGATCTTGTGTTGCTTCATATTCAAGAAAGTTGAGGACTTGAGCTTCTTACCTCTTCTACCTTGGTTAGTTTTGACAAGCTTTCTGAGGCACAGCAGGATGTATGGCCAAGCTGGTGGAATATCAGCAGCTGTAGGGGCACTACTAATACTCGGCAGGAGACATTATGGCCCTCCACTCGATTTTGCGATCGCTAGAATCACAGAGGCTGTCATTGGATTGATCTGTTTCATCACCGTAGAGATTCTCACATCCCCTGTAAGAGCAGCAACTCTGGCAAAACTCAAACTTTCACTTGGACTGGGATCCCTTCAAGAATGTATCAAAGATTTAGTTCTTTTCGACAACAAAATCGCTTCAGTGGGTCCAAAGTTGAGACAGAAACAGAACAAGTTGAAATCCCACGTCAACAAGTTAGAGAAGTTCATTGAAGAAGCTCAGCTGGAGCCTAATTTCTGGTTCATCCCTTTCAACGGTGCCTGTTATGACAAGCTCCTGAGATCTTTATCTAACACGGGGAATCTTTCCATTATCATGTCCAACATAATAGAATCTCTATCATTCGTGTTACAGTGCTCCGAACTTGATTCCGAAGAACTCCGAAAACCCATGAAGGGGATCGAGAAAGATTTGGAGATTTTCAAGAAAAAAATTGGGAATTCTCTGCAATGCCTCCAAGAGCTGGCTTCCAATAAGTCTCTTGCAGTCCTTGGCAAACATGACATTGAGTCGGGAACATTATCAGCAAGAGAAAATGGTTCTAGGGTTTCGGATTCAGACAAGGAAGAGACTGAATGCCTTGTAGATTCTTTTCTTCAAAATTCCAATGAATTATCCGACAAAATTGCCACCATGACTGGATTAATAGAGGATCATCAGAAGCTTAGAGGGCAAGTAACTGTTTGTTTGGGTGGATTAGGGTTTTGCATCAGCAGTCTGCTGGGCCTGGGGGAATTAAAAGAGATGGAGAAAGATTTTCAAGAACTTATCAAATTGGAACACCCTTCAAGCATGTAATAGTATGAATACTCACATACTTTAATATCCTAAAACCTTCAGACTTCCTACCAAGTTTAATTATTAGTTAGAGGGTTTTTAATTATAGAAAGGATCTTGCTTCCAACTTCTAATATATATGCTTTCCCACTAAGATCAAAGTTCAGCAAATTTCAATGCCATGAACAATATGGGCATAGTTAAGTTGGCTCATGCAATGTGTTTCTCTTTCTCCATCAACGATCGGTAGTTTAAGTTAGATTAGTTTTTCATTGTTATGAATAAATGTATCATTAGTTTTTCGTTGTACAATGTACCCATTTTCCAGGAGATCAATTTAGTTACGTTTTTATCCGTCTTTTATGAGGATTATGGATAGTTTACACATACTTTCATGGGCACTGTGAATATGGCTAATTTTTTTCTGTTGATTTGAGAATGTGTCCATGTCCGGTTTGATAGTATTTTTACCACCTGCAAAAGAAAGGATAAAAACACTTAAAAATACTTGCAAGAGTATAAGGTAATTGTAGTATAGTCAACTCTAATAAGGTCATTCTTCACAGGGATTGAATGAATAATTTATGTAAAATTGGAAAAGCTTAATTTTATGACTTATAATAATAAAAATGAATTTAATAAAAATAGTTAAATAAATTAGCAAAGTAAAGAAAATAAAAGAAAACAGTTTAGGTTTTCCTAAAGAATGCTCTACTTGGACCCTCAAACATAGAATGTATATCAAAAGTGCAACCCATCTGTCATGTCCAGATCGAATCTAAAGATGCAAGACTCATTAAGCTTTATGAAAACCTTTTGAAAAACCATGCAACCCTTAAGACGTGGTGTTCATCTTAAGCGAAGTTACACATATTAACCAGAAGAAGCCTCAATCAATTTCAGGGACAGCCTTCCGCCAAGATTGCATCAAATTACTTTTCTAAATATCCTAATGGTGGCCAATCATCAAAACAATTAGATAGTTTCAAACACGATGATTAATAATTCAAAACCTGCATGAATAATATCCTAAGTAAATTAGTTACCAATTGTTGGGGCCTAAAAATGTCATACACCAATCCAATCAAGTCTCAAGGCCCAATTGTCATGCAAAGCCTACATTCAAGCCCAAGCACATGCCAAGGCACGGGATCAACGAAGAATATATTTACAAGCACGTCATGCTGCAGTGATTAAGCCAGATGTTCACACCATGCTCATGCCTATTCATCATGCCATGCTTCCTTAGCTACAAATCATGCTAAGCCCAAGTCACACAATCGGGACTTGCCAAGTGGATTGTGGTGTGGATGGTTACGAAAGGTTATCAGGCCTACGTTGAATTGGGGTCATGGAAGAGTTTTGGCTACTTAGGAGGCCAAAGATCCAAGCCCATACCTTTTGTATTCCACGCAGGCATTATTGAGAAAGAACTAGCCTAGTTTATCCATTTCCCTAGCAAGCCAACCCCCTTAGGTAGGATTAAACTAGATTCTTGCATTAAATGCATGTTAAGCCCAGCAAGTTAGATATTTAATGCCGACTTTCCCTTCCCAGCTTGCACAGACAGCCAACGCGCAAAAGCTATGAGGCATGCTACCAGATTTAGCGCATGCGGAAGTCCGCCCTGCGAAAGCAGCGCCTCAGGAAAAAGCAACCTGCAAGTCTTAACAGTGCATCTATTTTACACCAAAAAAGGAATAATAGGATAGCTAGGGAGAAAATGAGGGAAGACCAAGCCACAAAGGGATGTTCCCTTGAAATCTAGAGAAGAACCCTTCACCTACATAAAGAGGGAGATAAGCCATTGGAGAGAGGATTCAAAGGAACACAGAGAGAGAAATAGAGAAAATGCAATAAGATATAATCACCCAATAAGAAGCCCAGAGAGTTCCATTTTAGTCCAGAAGATTACTCCAAGCCTCAAGCATCACCATTCATGTAACCTTAGCAATTTCCACAGCCTTCTATCAAACATCTCAACCATTAGAAGCCTTGCTTCTCTCCGTCTACCGTGCTGCCTACTCCAATGTGAGGTGGAGAGTACTCCTTGCGAGCCTAGTTGTGAATGAACACTTTGCCTGGAAGGTTGTCCATATTGATAATCGGAGTATGACTTCAATCGTGAACGTATGCTCGTCCATAGGCTTGATCGGGAATGCACGCTCCTCCACGTGCTAAGACGAGATTATATGCTATCCCAAGGACCCAGGCGGGAGCGTAAACTGCCAGAACGCTTGGATCATGGCTGGTTGATGGGCTGCTTACCGGGACGCTAGGGGAAAGGTTCATCTGCTCTTGTCCTACTTCGGGACACCTTGTTCGAGGCACGTTGGATCTCGGTGCGTTGCAAGAGTTGATTCACCAAGGTTGTCTGTTGTGCAAGGACGCTCGTCAACTCTTTGACTTGTTGAGACAAGTGTTGTTCGCAATTTAGATTGGAAGAGCTTGGAAGGAATATGCCTCCTTGAGCAGTGGAAGTGTGGTGGGCTCCAGGTGCGATATTTGAGTTGGGAAATGTAAAATCCGCAAAGAAATGTGGTGAAAATGCCCCCGGCTTGATGGTAAGTCCGGATGGTTGAGATAGTCTTGGGCCGACTTGGGCTGTTTGAAAGGCCACAGGGGCAGGCTGGGCTGCGGAAGTAGACTGCTCTGCTAAAGTAGGTTGGGCCACGAGAGTGGGCTGCTCAGCGGGAGCAAGCTGGGTCACAAGAGTGGGCTGCTCGGTGTGTGATGCACGCGAGTGCGAGGCTTGGGCTCAGCTTGGCGGTGCATTAAGCTCGCGTTGGGCTTGCTTTGGTGGCACGACTAGGGTTGTGGTAGTGGTGACACCATGGACCTCGCCACGGGTGGCTATCTTGGTAGCCACCACGGTGGTTCCCGTGGTGGAACCTTGTGGTGGTGGTGCCGCTCCCCCTAAGATCACATTTAGTCTCATGGATCGCCGTGGTCCCATTTCTTGAATATTGGAATTTTCACTCGTGGAATTTTTTAAATTTCTAGCCATTGTATTTCTCTTTTACGTTTTATCAAAGAATCTTTGCAAAAAAAAAAAATTCTAATAATAAGAACGTATGAAAAAATGCAAGTGGACTAGAAAATAGAGAAAAATCTTTTTATGCGAGAGTTTTCTACGAGTGTGTGACTCTTCTCTCAATGAAAGCACCAATTTATGGATGCAAATTTCTTCCTCTTTGATCTTGGACAAAATTGCACCTATAAAACAATTAACACCTTTGGTTAAGGCCAAAAGCCTCACGCGCCCACGATGAATTGAGGGCTTTGGCTGGAGAACCTCTGATGTCAAAGTTAGAATTTAGAGAGAAAAGTGTTTAGAGAGTTTCTGGAGTTTTGCAAGAGTGTGGACCTAGACTTTCAAAGAAAATAGAGCATGGTTGGCCCTCTTTGGAAGAGAGAGTGGTCGGCCCTTGGATGTTTTTTGGGGTGTAATGGTGATTAATTTGGTGATTAATGTATTAATTAGGAATTAATCCATTAATTAGCCTAATTAATTTAATTTATATGGAAGGTTTTGAAGGTTATGGAATGATTTCCTTGTAGAGGATATGGAGTAAAGATGTGTGAGATAAATTTGAACTTGTTACCTATTTGGGCACTCTTGACTCGGTTGATGGATGATTCTCCGCTGCTCACGTGTAGGAAACCCAGTGCGTCTCGAGGGTAATTTTGTCATCTTCACCTAAAAATCTACGTGTCGCCACTTGATTATTTTTTGGCTCCACAACAGTGATTCCGAGATGAAGTTTGACTTCGACTCATCAAACATTCTTTTCCAATATGCTGTGTTCATTGGGCAGTGTTGGCGAACAATAGCCCCGGTATCATGTGCCAACAAGCTATCAACAACTTTATCAGTTGCTCGCCTATGCACTGGGTCTATAACGACTAATCGTTTTAACCAACCGACATGCCCCGCACACTGGTCTTTCATCTGGTAAGTTTGGTACAGAACTATTAACACCTACAATGGAAAAGTAAAAAGGCATTAATATGCAATCAAGAACATGTTTAATTATGACTTGCCACAATATGTGATGCCAGAAACTCTATATTTGTATCTTCTGCAACAAAAAATTCAGTACTTTCTTTCAGATTTATTCCATATTTGTATCTTCTGCAACAAAAAATCCTCGTAATTATACTACTCGTTTAGTTTATGGATTACATGCTGCGATGTATAGCTTATTTCATGTCGAACTCGGCTGAAACTTAAGGGGGTGTTTGACATTCTTAGGTGGGAATGGACTAGACTAGACTAATTGCTAATGTAGTCTGATGTTTGGTATGCATAATGATAATTGGTATAACGTAATGACATTGATCATCATGGTATATAACATTAATTTTTTAAAATTTCTTACCTTCGTGTCGACGTCGAACTGCATTCCTCTTTCTAGCAGGTGCTTCAGTAGGTAAATCCTTATGAGTATCATCAAGCTGGGATCTTGCTGCACCTTGGGATTGAGTACGATGAAGAGAGGTCTCGGTTGCACCACTCATGGTCTGGGAACGAGTACAGGGCAAAGAAGGTATGGTGTTTCCCCGCCAAGGTCATGGAGGATCAATGTTTCTTGGCTCTAGCTGAGGAGCATCACTCCCAGTCGCACCACCCATAGAATGAGATTGTGTGCGAGAAAGATAAGTCTGCCTCAAAATATCAGGCCTATTCCTCTCTTAACGAAAAGTAGGAGGATGAGCTCTAATAACAGATGTAGACCGTGGCTGGGATGGCAGAGGCGGGATTCTTGTTGACACAAGAGGTCGTTTCCTTTTTTGGCTAATCATTGGCATCTACAAAAAAGAAAAAAAAAAGAACCAAGTTTAAGTTAAATGTAAATACATATATGCTATGCATTAGAATTCATTGGTAAGAATAAACCTGGTTGCTTGTGGTGTAGCTTCTACAAAATTATAGAGACAATCATGAGAGTGAGAGAAATGAGAGAAATGATAGAGGCAGAGACATGGATGAGAATCAGTTAAGAGTGCAAGAACCCTAATAAATAAACCTGGGGATAGAAATCGTCAAAATTGTTTCTGAGCGGGAAAGACCCCGCCAAATTGTTACAAGATAAATAAGAATTCTTATCAAATTGAAATCGGATGGCGCGAGCGAAGAATATAGGAGGGAAGTCATGAGCAATGGGATTAGCATGCAATTGGGAGGGAGATCATGAGGCGACAAAATAGGATTAGCATGCAATTGGTATTAAACTAAACATGGTAAATACCAATATTAAACTAAAAATGGTCGTACCCAGTGCACAAGGCTCCCGCTTTACGCAGAGTCTGGGAGAGGTGAAT